CATGTTGTCATCACTGCAGCCTCAGCCTCAACCCCGTTGCTCGGCGATCGCCCCTTGGGTCGCAGCAACTGCAACCACATCAACGCAGTCGCCTTCCAACCCCGGCGCTCTTACCTCACGCAACGATAGAAACAGGGCAGCTACTCTTCCTCCAACGCAGCGACTGCAGCACTGCCCTTCTCGTCCACCTCATCGGCAACTTCGCATCGACAGTATTGATGCCCTTGACCGACACCAAAAACAGGAGTTGAGATTACAGATTTGCAGTCTTACACAATGGTCACTGATAACTCGATGAAAGCATAAATGGAAGCATTGGAAATCATAATTGAGAACCGACTGCAAGAAACACTTAATGATTTCAAAAAGAGCCTACTGGAGAGCCTTAGTAAATTTCAACAAGGTGGGAGCTCAAGTTCTACATTGCACAGATCTGAAAATACAGGAAAAATGCCTCAAGATTATGACACAAATTACTCACACATGAAGATGAAATTTACGAGATGGAAAGATGGAGATCCGACCAATTGGATCGCTAAGGCAGAAAATTTTTTCTGTTTTCACAAAACCCCAGAAGAATCCAAGGTAGAAGTGGCCTTAATCCAACTCGAGGGAGATGCACTCCAGTGGTACGATTGGTATGAAACTTTCCACGGAGTTCCTTCGTGGGAGCAGTTCAAAAGAGGGCTTCTTGTTCGCTTTGGCCCATCCGAATATGAGAATGTTGATTGCCAGCTCGCCAAAATTCATCAAACTTCTACAATGTTAGAATATCAGAGTAGGTTTGAAAGATTATCAAATCAAGCTAGAGATTGGTCGAACCGATAACTTCTGAATACATTTATTGAAGAGCTTATTCCAGAGATCCGGTGTGAAGTTAAGGCTCGTCAACCTCGTACTATGATAGCTGCGATCTCATTTGCAAATCTACATGAGAAAAAAATTAGCAAGGAAAGATCAGCAAGGGGTTTGTATTATGATGAAAAATGGAGTATGGAGCACCAATGTAAACAAGGGCAACTTCTGATGATTGAACCAATTGGAGAGGAACCGAAAGCTAAGAATGTGGACTCCGATCATGAAGGTATAAATTCTAATGAAGATGTTGGACCTACCATATATACAATGCATGCATTAGCCGACTATTCTAACCCGCAAACTATGGAAGTTGGCGAAACTCTGGAACATCAGCCTGTTATAGTTTTGATTGATACTGGTAGCACTAACAATTTTATGGACAGTGAGACTGTTGACTGATTGGCCCACCACATTGAAGACTATGACAGATTCGAAGTAAAGATCGTTAATGGAAGGATTTTCACTTGTGATAACAAAGGTTCAAAGATAAAATTGATTATACAGGGCCAGAAGTTTCATGCAATGATTGCTACATTGAAAGGCCGACTTATTGCTTACACTATCAAAAAGTGGAGATCATACTTACTTGATCAATGGGTTGTGATGCATTATAGATAGTCTATGGCTAAAGTGCTGAAAGAGAAGCTCCCAAAGATTGATGCTGCTCAGCCTTGAGGACAAGACTGATTTGAAGAGGGAGGAACTGTTAGGACCCTTTTTCTAAGCTTTTGTATAATGTTTATTGAGTCTGGTCCAGTTGTTTATTTAGTCGGTTTGGTTCAGTTAGAGTCAAGTAGAGGTTTATTTAATATTTATTTATTATTAGAGTTCAAGTCCTGATTAACTCTGGGTGGAATTCTATAAATAGGGATGTAATTGCTTCTTTTCAGTAATCTATGAAAAATATTATTCTATCTTTGGACAAATCCTAGGAGGCCGATCCCCTCGAAGTGATCAAGGTGGGCCGATCCCCTCGAAGTGATCATTATCATCCACATTTCTCCTCTTTCTTCGACGATAAGACTTTAGGATCTTATCAAGCTTTTCTATGTTGAACTTCATATTCTTCATCGTCCTTAGTAGAAGGTTTATCTTTAACCTTTATAGGCTTATACAAATCTTTGCAATAGAGCAAATCTTCCATCAGACGCCTCTAAGTAGAATAATTTGATGAGTTCAATTTAATCATACCATCTGACTGCTCCATTTCAATCACACAAGAAAAACTAGCACCAAATAACCTGTTTCTCTGATACCACTTGTTGGGAAAAACCTGTTAAAGCAGAATATTCTTTTCCCTCTTTGTGTATCAAAATGGGTTCCTCATCAAAATACCAACTTGATATCCAAATGTAAATATCAACCAGCACAGCATAAACAATAGAGCAAATAATCAACCACATAGTGAGACCAAATCTTTTTAACGTGGAAAACCCAATGTGGAAAAAATCACGGGACCGTAGTCCACCTCAAACTTCCAATATCAATAATAATGATAACAGGTTTACAATATGTCTTCTCTAGAATAACTAGAGGATCAGTATAACGTCAAGAATATAAATCTTGGCTCTAGCATATCATAAGGATGGATCTCCTCAAAATAGAATTATAGGTCTCACAGAGTGGATATCACAGGAAAATACTTTAGATAGGGTAAACTGCAGATCAACACCGTTAGGATTGTAGAGTTTGCTGCAAGGATTCTCCACATAAAATTTGGACCGAAACTGATAACGTTTGGCCATCGATCGTCAAGCAGAAAGCTTAGAAACCTAATCTTTCTCTCTCCTCTTTTCTCTGCACGCCGCCGCACGCTGCCACTGTGCACTCTCACGTTGCCCTCTCTAATTTTGCCCTTTCTCTCTTGATTTCTTTGATTTGGGCTCATGGTCCAAATTTGTCCAAGCCCACACACTCCTGATTCCTCCTTCGTCGAGGCCATCGACATTTACTAATGATCTTCTTTCAATGGGTGAAGACCAACTACCCTCTTACAATACTTTCTCGTTTTCACAGGTTTGGGAGATAACATTTATAAATCACTATTTTACAAGTATTCCCTCACACACCTCCCTTAGGACTAACTTTAAGTACTAAGAGGAGGGAACTCAAAGTTTTGGAAGAGTTTAATCAGTTTTTTTCTCAAGAATTCTTGTTCCTTTCTTGCTACCCAAGTGGGGTATTTATAGGCCCCAAATAGTTTCAAAAATGGAACCAAAAATTTAATTTTTTTTATTCTTTCGGGTACGAGTAGTAACACCACCTACATTGGGCAGTACCACCGCCTATAGTCTGATACTGGGTGGTACCATCGCTTGACATACTATCACTAGGCGGTACCATCGCCTTACAGTCTTAAAGATCAGGTTTTTTGAGTTTTTCAACTCACATGGAATCCATTATGGTTAAGTTGATAGGGGACCTCTATAAATAGGAGGAAACCAAAGGCTCATAGGCTAGAGGTGTTTGGTTGTCACCTTCTATTCTTCTCTCCCCTTCTCTTCCTCAAGTAGCAAGTGTAGAGTTTTGGGGTAACGATTGAAAGAGCATCGTCATAGCTCTACTGTGTGAGTCACTACTAGAGAGAAGACGTTTGACCTCCTTCATCCTCTCCCACAAATTTATAGAGATTCAAGGATATATGATCTCCCTAGGTAACACAACTTACTCACGCGTGGTTTTTGATTTCACGGATTTTGTACACCAATCTTCGCACGACGATGAATACATCATCGAAAAATTTGGAGATTTTTGTTTTCTATTTTTCTGCTGCACATGTGATGTAGACCGTAGATTTCCCTATATGAGGGTTGTGGGTGAGGCATGCAGGGATGGGGCCAGTGGAAGTGACAATGATCCTTGTGGCGAGAGTTGTGAGCGATGGTGTAGGATAGAGATGGAGATGGGTCTGATGGAGATAGGGGTAAAATAATATTTTTCATGTATAAAATTCTCAAAGTTAGAGATTTTTTTTTAGAAATTCACCCTTAAAAAATTATCATGATTTTATCACGTTGAAAATCACTTACTAAAATAATTTATTACAAAGGTTGAAGTTGGAAAGTCTCATCCAATAAATTTTTATATCTAAAACATTAATACGATATAAATCATATCCACTATTAAATCCATTAAGTCTTATGATTGATCATGAATACTAAACAAGATATTACTATAAGATGCGTCATTCATCTCACGTGATTCATCGTTTTGTTTAGCTATTTTTGTCATTGTTGTTACTATCGAGAAGAATATGATGTGTACATAGAGTAATTAGGTCTTAGGTCCCACGGTGGCTCAACCCTAGATCTTATGGTGGCTCTTCTTTTTATTTTCTTCGCCTATCCGCTTGACCTCTGGTTGTACCAAAACTTATGGTGAGTCAAAAAAAACATTAACATACAAAGATATTGCTCGATGTGACATGCCTTTTGATGCTTTGATTTGTAATAGTCGTGGTGGCAAACTGAACTCCGATCAGAAAGGGATGATTAATCTTTTTGGTATTATGCATCGATCTTAGTTCTTGTGCTAGCAATCGAGGCATGAGAATATAGATTGTAAGAAGTGAGCACTCAATCTTACTGAATCATTGTCTTATTGACATGCGCACTGTCATACAAGCATACCATGATCAAATCAAATGTAGCCCATGAGGATGGATGGTGATCCAATCAAGTGAACATCATCATAAGAATGCATCACTATTAAGCGTAAAAGTGTGACCATATATAAACGAATAAAATAAAAAAAAAATTAAAATCGTACTTAAATAATCAATCATGGAAGAGTGGAAAATCGAGTCTCGTGAGCCAATTTGAGTTCATTGGGCTCACCAAAATAGTAAGAAATTTAGGGCTAACGAACCAATTCAATTCAATCTATATGGTTAACCAATGGAAAAGTGGGAAAATCGAGTCTCGTGAGCCAATTTGAGTTCATTGGGCTCACTAAAATGGCAAGAAATTAAGGGTTACGAACCAATTCGATTCAATCCATCTATTTAACCTATGGAAGAGTGGAAAATCGAATCTCATGAGCCAATTTGAGTTCTTAGCTCACCAAAATGACAGGAAATTGAGCGCGACGAACCAATTCGATTCAATTTTAGCCCGTCGCTTATTTTTACGAACGCTAACATCTCTTTCTCTCTCCGCTTTATCTTCTCATTGCTTGTGTTCCTCCGCAGCCGCCCTCTCATCGTGCCCCCCTCCGCTCCCACTTCCCTTTATATCGGCAGCCCATGTAACGGCCATGGAGATCTCGGGACTCCGCTCTCTGGCGAAGCACCTCAAGACCATGCTCTCCTCCACCTCCTCTTATCCCTTTCCTCCTCCTCCTCCTCTCTCCTCTCCCTATAAAGCCCTGCACCTTGGCCCTTCCCGAACCCTAATCCCTCTCCTTCTTTCCGGCCGAATCCGTCTCTCCGCCGTCGCCTGCCTCCTCCCCCGCCGGTGCCACCGCCAGATCCGCCTCCCCCTCCCTGGCTTCCTCTGCCACCCGACCGTCGATCGCTTCCCCCGGCCCTTCTCCTCCATCTCTTCCGACCCGGTGTTCGAGCGACGGGAGGAGCGGCAGCAGCCCACATCGTCCTGCTCCGCGGACGGCGAGTACCAGGACCACCTCTTGCAGGTCCAGCAGGAGAAGCAGAGCCGGTTCGTCCCCGTTAAGGCCTACTTCTTGTGCACCAGGTGCTCTCATTCTCCTCCCGTTTATGTGCTCGTCATTGTGGTTTGCATTTGGCTAGTTCGTTGATGATCGTGATCTTCATGGTGCTGGGATGTATCGCAGTATTGATTTGAGGAGCTTGCAGGCTCAGAATGCGTTCAACGTTATTCCACCTACATCCCGCGCCACCAATTACGTTGTCCTTCGATACTATGATGTTAAGAACGACCCTCATGTAAGTTACTGTTTCTCTTTCCTTTATTCTTGAATAATTACAAAGTAGTTCATTGAGGTTTTTGCTATGTTAAATGTTAAATCATTTACATTGATTATTATATTAGTTAAGATATTTTGTCTAAGTAGTTAACTATAACTAATTGATGAACAACGATAGTAGTAGAAGACTTGATAAGAATAACATAATTGGTTAGTTTTCGTGTTTAAATTTTGTTTTTGTTGTTTTGAATTTCATTGAAGACTTATAGGGTGGGAATAAGCGAGGATTTTGTTTATCTTTAGTTTATTGATGTCTAAGTTTGAACGATGCTGGTGAGATTGGGTCCTCATCTTTGGCATTCTAAATCTCACATTGCAGTTATATGGTACAAGACGTACACATATTGGAAGAGGAACCTGGATCACTGTGGCAAGGTTGTAGAGTGATCCCATCCCATCGTCTATGCTCCAATGTTATTGACTGTGATTGGACTAGTTAAACACATGTAGTTTGTCTGCCCACTAGTTTTATTTTATTCTGTTGCTGTGATCTTTGTGCTAGAGTTCATATGATTTCTTTACACTTCATGGGCATCTTAATGCTAATTAATTACAAATATAAAACATGCAAACTAACATAGTGCCTTTCATATTTCAGGTTATGGAGTCTGGTTTTCCAAATGAGAGTGTTTGTCACTATATGGTAGTTTTTCACTATGGTTCTGTTGTTTTGTTCAATGTCACTGACCATGAAGCTGATGGGTACCTGAAGATTGTTGAAAAACATGCATCAGGTTTGCTACCAGAGATGAGAAAGGATGGTAAGTATGTCAAAGTTGCCTGAAAGAAATATACTTTTCATATATATATATGTGTGTGTGTGTGTGTGTGTGTGTGTGTTTGTGTGAACTTATATGAACTTCTTAGATTCATGCAAATATGTTGGATGCGACTTGGTGCAGAGATGGTGGTGTGCTTCAGAATGGTTAATATGATTAACCTTTTATTATTCACATTTCACAATGGCATATATGTGGGATTGAAGTATGTGATAGGGATACATTGGATTAAATAATGACAACAGAATGAACAAATGACTTAGTTTCACTCTAGATGTTCCTTTGGGTCAGTCAGAGTCTTCTTGATTTCTCAACAAGTTCTAATCCTGATATGCTTTGAATCTCATTAAGATTTAAGATAGAAGTAGACTAAATACAAAGATCAAAGTCAATATGTTTAGGTGTAAGTACTTGAAGAAAGTTTCACACTTGTGATTTTAGTGTGGGATATTGGCAATTGGAAGGCAAAGAAGCTCTGGGAAACTAGGTCAAGATGCAGATCTCTAATATGTACTTTGGATCTACCACACATTAAACATTGAAAAAATATATAAGAAAAATGTTGGAACTAAGATTCACAGAAAGCTCTGTACAGGAGGTGTAATTTAAAGTTCTTGTGTGGTTGGAAGTTGGTTCATTAAAAACATCTACTTCAGGGATGAGTTCATATGCAGCAACTGTGAATTGGTTCTTTCCAAGTTTGGGATCCTTCAAATTCAAGCAGAAGTTGTTATTTTGGATGGCAACAAGGTCATGTAACTTAATCAAAATCCTCCAAAAATAGTCTTAAATTCAAGTTGAATTTGGTTAGTATGTTAGTTTGCAGCAGATCTGGCAGTGCCATACATTATGTGGCCCAACTGGATTGAGTATAACTTGGTCCATGAGTTGTATAATTTAGCTTTGGTTGGTTTTTTTTTTTTTTTTCCAGATGCCAATGACCACGTATTTTACATGCTTATTTGTGCAAATCAGATACAATAGTAACAGTTTTATATGAAGTCGAACTGTAGAAGATACTTAGCCAGTTGGGTTATTGTAGGTGGAGATTAGGTGCTGTTGGCTGAAAAAGAAAAAAGCATTTAGTCACCTTTTCCTTGTTGGATGACTGATGATTAAGTCATCTTATTTTGAACAAGCTGTTTATGTTTTTTAGAAGTTAGGACTGATCTGAACAAATCAGTTTGTATACTGTTCTTTTTCCAACAAATAGAGATGCCATTTAGCCCTCAAGCGTTTTTTTCCTTCTAATCCTCTATTTTTTAACCTTATGTTTTGTTTCAGTTGTTTATCAATACACAACAATTCGTTAGCTTTTTATTTTTCCAACATGGATCCTACTGCTGGTTTTTATGTTGAAATATTGTTATGGGTAGAACCAGATCCGGCTAGTTAAGTGTCCTATAGTAAGAGCAGTAATGAACTCTGGAGACCATTCCTATGGGGGCGCTGAGGGGAGAGTCTTGATTGGTAGAAAAAGACCACTCACAGAATGAGAATGTTGTGCTGTGCATAATAACCTTCATCCAAATCCATAATTACTGAGTCAGAAGATATAATCTTTATTTTTCAATCACTGAAGTACAAACTTGCCATGTCTCTCATGAAGTAAAATAAATACAAGCTGTTTTGTCTTAAGTGGAATCGTATAGTATTGGTATGATATAGAGGTTATGGACAAAATGAACTCTATGTTCTCATGCATGTTACATTTGATGCACTTTGATGATGATCTACAACAATCCACAACTTGAATGATGATAAACTGGTACATTTTAGCTTCTGCAATATCTAGATTCAGGATCCTATTGTCATGATACTTGACATAGGTCCATGCACTGCTGAGTTTGACAATTTTACCAATAACTCTCAACTATTCTTTCCATCCATGTTTACATATGTATTTCCCTTTTCTTCTTCCTAATAGCTCATTTATCTGTGAGATGCAACCTTATGGTATGTGCCTATAGAATATACTGATATGCTTGGTACAGTGATAATATGTATATGCTATTTAGTTATTGTTCTGAAGGAAGCAATACTACAAACTTACAGTTCTTTTTTTTTATTTCATGGACAGGTTTTTAACAACCTGTTCTTTCATTTGATCTCAATTTTGCTAATTTTGATGAATGTAAATAATACTTGCTGAAACTTTTCCTGACAGTGGTTTGAATTATTGGAACTCTAGATTATGCTGTAGTCGAAAAACCAACTCTGGAGACTTGGATGGAAGGTGGACTTGACTACATAGTGCTTAAAACTTTGAACATAGATGGTATTCGGACCATTGGAAGTGTTCTTGGTCAAAGCATTGCTTTGGATTACTACATCCGGCAAGTATGTTTTAAGATATTTATCAACTATAAAATGTGTTAATCCTGAGCACTGATGGAAGACATATGCTTGCTTCTGTTTAGGTTGATGGAATGGTAGCTGAGTTCACAGGTATCAACCGGGGTTTGGAGAAAACTGGAACCTTTACCATGAAAAGGAAAAAGCTTTTTCAGTTAGTGGGGAAAGCAAATTCAAATCTGGCTGATGTCATTCTCAAACTTGGTCTTTTTGAGAGGTAATCTTGATGTTGAAATAATTAATGCTTATAACATGTAAATTGTAAAATAGTTTTAATATCCGCACATGACTGTAGTTATCACTTGGTCAAGTTTTTGCTTTTGGGATTTCTGAAGGCAAGTGTTTGAACTAGTTTAATTGTGGATCAAACTGGTACTAGAAAAAGGTCTCAGAGTAGTATCTTGATAATTACTATTTTGCTATTATCATATGCGGACAGTTTAGTTTCTTCTGTGCCCATTAATTATTTACTTGAATAGGTGAATATGAAAGTAGGGTCAGATAATTATAAAATGGATGCTCTATGACCATCAAATGTTATCTTAAAACACTGTACTGACTTTTGATGTTATTATTGACCAGTCATCCTCATAACTGATTAATAGTGTTAGTACAAGTGTTCGAGTATTATTGACTAATCAGTTAATGCCTGATCAAATATTTTAATTCTTTACAAGTTCAGTCACAGCCAGAAAGGGTTGGAGGTGGTCCTAGAGTGACCTAAAACACAGGTTTACAGATTCATGGTCCTGGTGTGGTGGATGGATTGTAGCTGACCAGGCACTTTGGTGGATGCCTAGGAGGGGCTATGTAGACAATATGTAGACAAAATCTTGGTTTATGCTCAACAGAAGCTACAACATGACTAGCTCTGTATATACACCTTAACCATGTCGGTTTCTTGCCATCTTGTGCTGAATTTTTTGCAGCTAGTGTATGTCCTTTTTGGCCTATCTTTCTTTGTACAATAATACGTTTCTCTTAAAGTTATGCCTAAGGTCTTCCATTATATGGTACTGTAAGCTGAATGTGTTTTTCCTTTCTCCGCTAATGTAATTCTTCATACGGTTGAAGAATTACTGAAAATATTCACTTGTCTATTATTTGTCTCAAATAAATTCTTCCAATTTGTGGTCAAGCTTAATGCTTAATTATCTTTTAGTAGATAAGATTGTTCTGCTGTGGTACTTGCCGAATCCATTGCATTGTGCGAATGACATATACTACATTTTGATATTATAAAAGGTAATTTTTTGTTGATAATGCCTGTATAAATTGTTAGTATAGTAGTCGAGATGAGAGTATTGAAGTGAATGTGTGATTTTACTAGGAAAAATAAAATAGAAACGTACTCATTTGCGAACGATTAGATATAGCCCTCTTAGAAAATAAAATGACGAGAGATCATTTAAGATGATATAAACACGTTAAAAAGAAATCTTGTGACATTGTGGGTAGTTGAGTTAATATATTTAGTGGTGCACTAAGAGGTAAACGAAAACCTAAGAAGCTTTTATAATGAACAATAAAGAGATACCTGAATGCTTTTAATTTAACCAAAGATGTCTTACACAAAACTAAATGGTGGTAGAAGATCCATGTAGCATCCCTTAAATATTTGGGACATTATCACTTGAAGTTATCACTATTATATAGGCCATCTGTGCTTATGGGTTAGTATTAGATATTCGAGAAGATATATGTGTGTGCATTCATGTTGACAAGACAAGTAGGTTGAGATAGATGAACATGATAAGTTAAGACGAATGCATAAATGCCATGGTAAGCTATATGTGGGTGTTCTTGTTGAAGTAGTTTTCATTTAGTGGAAGTTGAGAGGAAGTTATGTTTTCTTAACATGTCCAAACAATTTTATCAACTCCAGTCGTAATGATTGGTGAATCAATTCAAATTGCTGGTATACTGATAGGGAATAAAACAACACATAGATCTGTGTAGAGATGGAGGATATGATGGCTCTAGATCCTTAGGAGGATGTTGCATGTAATGAGCTGAATTGGGAGGAGAGGATCTCACTATTCATCAATGGAGTTGGGACGAAGGGCTTGTTGTTGCTTTGTTGTTTTTTTGAAGATGTGAGACTAGATTGTATACTACGGTTTTACTTGATCCCATATCAAATGAAATGGGTGCAATATCAGCCATATTTTACTTTGTTATAGGTGGAATATAATGATAATTAAAATATTTTTATAGAACTAGCTTATGAGCTATCACATAATTAGGTTCATTAAGCTAAAGCAAATATAGTATTGTCAGCTGTGATTTGAAAAGAGAGTCTTGTTGTTACTTGGTAGTCTTTGATTTCTAGGAGCTGATTTGTTGTAATTTAGAATCTTGTAATTTCATGTTCATTCAACGTTTGCCATGAAAGCTTTTTATATGACCTTTACTGCTGATGTTCCTGATTCATGCTCTGTACAATAACCTACAGGTCAGATATTGCTTGGAAGAATGCTAAATATGCACAGATATGGGAGTATCTCAGGGATGAATATGAGCTAACACAGAGATTTGGAAATCTTGATTTTAAGTTGAAGTTTGTTGAGGTAAACCAATATGCCTAGACTGTTCTAAAATTTCTTTTGTTCTTTCTCACTCCCAAGTTAAATTTTCCAATATTTCTCTTGTGCAGCACAATATTCGCTTCCTCCAGGAAATTCTTCAGAATAGGAAGTCTGTTTTCCTCGAATGGCTAATCATTGTTTTGATTGCTGTGGAGATCCTCATCTCTCTTTATAACATCTTTTTTCATCCAACACCAGTAGTTATCCAACAAAAAACAAACAACCAGAAAATTTCTCAAGAAGGATCTGTCGACTATGATGGCTAAATTTGCGGATATGGATTCTATTATATCCAATAGTCTTTAATTTTTGTTAATCTTCCTCAGATCTTTTTGTAAAGTTGCTACAATCTGTAAGATCATTTCTCTAGATAAATTATTTCACATGTTATCTTTAATGAAATGATCAGAAACAAAAAAGAAAAGCATTTCGTTTGCAGTCAGTATTGCTACAGTCCAGAATCTGGAGCTTCAGCTGTGAACGCAAGTGCTATCAAAAAAATACTATTCAGACAAATGATGGTTTACTTATTTCCAAGACTCTGAACTCTTTCTCGTAGAGCCAAGTCTCAAAAGCTTGGATCACAGTTGAGCTTCAGCTGCAACTCAAGTGCTATCCAGAAAAACCAATCGGACAATGAAGAATTGCAAATGGCTGTCGTTTGGAAGATACGAAGCTTCTGGATCACATTTGTCTCTGTTTTCCTGTTCTACTGGTGAGAGCACAGGTGAGAGGTCTCTGTTAAGTGGTTGTTCGTACCTTCTGAGCACCCTTTATTCTTTCCTGTGGGAGTGATTTAAAACAATTTCGTGTCAGCAAGTCCAGAACAAATCACATTATTTGTGTATTCTTGGCTAGGCATTACAATGTTCAATTTTTAGCATTAATAATCATCATCACTCACCATTTTGCTGTTCCTTTATGAGTTTTCGGTGTACTTTGACTTGACCTTAATGTTCACTTCTAGAGAATGTAATAAGCGGATCTCTTAGTGAAGCTATCTGGTAAGTGCTCAGCACATCTTCCTATTTTACTTGTTTTCCTTGCTGAACATAAATGCTACTGTAAAATATCATTCGTTTTTCCTTTTTCTTTTTTTTCTTAGTGCAGAAGCCCATGTGAAGATGATGGAAGCTAGGTAAAGCTGCATAAAATAGGACAAATATACTTGTATTGTACATGGAAATGACCCATTTGCGATACTCTCTGGTATGCTTCAATCTCTCTCTCTCTCTCTCTTTCTGATGTGGACTCTGATATGGGCAATCAGGTGGGTACGACCCTAGTGCATGTGACCCGACATTTTCGCGGCCGAGAAGGACTGCCCACTTGGTCCCGCTACGCCGCCCCAGCCGTCGATTGCGCTGCCGCCCTTTCTTTATTCGGGGGGACTCATCCCCCACCCACGGCAAGCACACTCGGTTTCGACGCGAAACATCGTCTGATGAGACTGCATCTCTCCCTTATCAAACACCGACCACTTTGTTTTATGATTCATCCTGATCTGGATTCTTATGGACTTGTGTACTTTTTTGTCAGATGATTCGTTACCGAGAGCTACGGGAAAAGATCGACAAAAAGAAGGCGGCCACCTGTAAGTTGCCAGTTGTAAGCTCAGCGCTTTAATCTCAATGCATCTCACTCATCTCTATTGTCATGAAAGAATACCAAAATCTAAGTCATAGCTGGCTTTCTTTACCTAAAACACGTGTCATCTTATGTCATCCAAGTCTCATCATTAATTCTTTTGAGCTGTACTTAATGCCAAAATTAAAACCAAAGAATTTGTTCTCGAAAACAGATTACATTCTTGAACTCCAGTAAGCTAGTGGTTGTTCCAAGCATGTCTTTTTCTTAAGTCTCTGTTTCCCAGGAACCAAGCATTCAGAATCTGATATGGCATATTTCAATTCTTTATTGTTCTCCAATGGTGTCTAATCATCCTTGGAAATGTTTGACATTAAAAAAAAAACTGTTTTTGACACATCTTTCTGCATGCAAAGCTTTTTCTTGAGGACATCCAATCAGATATTAGGTGATGATGATTATTTCATAAGATTCCTGTCTTCTATCAAGTTATTTCTGTAGCTTACTTGTTATTCTCTCTTAGGTCAAGCAAGATAGGTGTTCTCATCCACCCGATAATAAGCTACTGTGAGTCGTCTTTCCGGGATTTGTGCTTTCAGAGATTTGAGGAATGTGACTCCCCCAGCGTGGCAATTTCCACTGAGGTAACTGTAACTGCTACAACCTGCTCCACAGTCCAAGCAACATTAGTCCCCACACGCTTCTTTAAATTTAACTGCACGTGTACGGCTGTCGTCACTCTACTGATACATACTGCCATTAATCTATTATAACTCACCTGCCATCTCCGGAGCTCTCTTCATCCAAAGGCTAACGAAGCCCCCCCCCCCTCCCAATCTGCAGAGAATGAACAGAGTAAGCAACGAAGCAGAGTGCCACCAGCAGTAAACCAGAGAGATGATCCGAGGTGCCAACAGCCTGATAGGGGCTGTGAACTTTGTGACGTTTTTGATATCGATCCCTATCCTGGGCGGTGGCATATGGCTGAGCGCCAAGGCCAACTCCACCGACTGCCTCCGCTTCCTCCAGTGGCCGCTCATCATCATCGGCGTTGCCATCATGGTCATCTCCCTCATGGGCTTTGCCGGCGCCTGCTACCGCCTGGCGTGGCTGCTCCGCCTCTACCTCTTCGCCATGTTCTTCGTCGTCGTGGCGCTCCTTGGCTTCGTCGTCTTCGCCTTCGCCGTCACTGACCGCGGGCACGGCCAGGTCGTCATGAACCGCGCCTTCCTCGAGTACCAGCTCTCGGATTACTCCGGTTGGCTCAAGGACCGTGTCTCCGACCCCGGGTACTGGGCCAAGATCAGCGCCTGCCTCCGCGAAGGTCATGCGTGCTCCAAAATGGCAAGATACGCCCGAGATCCAACCACAGGAGTGCTCGTACCTGAGTCCCCGGATATGTTCTACCGGAGAAATCTCTCCCCTATCGAGGTTGGTTCTTGGATCCATCTTCATTTTCCTCTGTTTGTTGGCCTTATTCGAATTCTTCAAGGAGGTTTCCTAAAAAGGGGCATCTCTAGGTGCAAGATTGGATTTTTAGGAGTAGTGAAGCTAAAAGACGCCATCTTTTGGCGAAATAATTAGAGCAGTGTTAATTTTTGGTAGTGGGATATCTTTGATTGCAGATTTGGTGAAATTTGATCTTGGAAGATTAGATCTTGGGCTTTCATGTGAATTTAAACAATATTTTCAGTCAAGTAGTTCTTATTTGTATCTTCATCTGCTTTTTAATGTTATTGTTTAGTTCTTCTCTAGAAGCACGTCCTCTCACTATCGATTACTTACTAGAGCAAGTATGAGGAATATGGAGAGGAGGTGTTGATTTTCTTTTTATTTATGAATATATCTGCTTCTCCGCTTCCAACTAAAATCTTCTCTTTGTTTTTGCTTGTGTAAAAAAAAAAAAGAACTCCCGGGCAATATGTAGATGGAAGATTGGCCTTCGGGATTGTAAAGGCTAAGTAATTAGAAGTTCCATGGAAGAATATTCATTCTTTCTTTGGGGAAATACTATAAGCTCTATCCTATCTTCTTGACTGATTCTTAATAGTACAAAGTAAAAAAAAGGTTGATGCTTATCTTCATCAAAAAGTTGGGAAATTATATCAAGACCTAACACACAGACCATAATCTCCATCCTACCTTTAAGATTTTAAAATAAAAAAGGGTAGATGCTTATCTTCATTAAAAAGTCAGGGAATCATGACAAGACCTAACAACAAACAGAATAAGCTGCTTTTTAACTTCTTGATTGATTTTTTTAAGAAACAAAGTAAACAAGGGCAACATTTTTTTCTTCAACTCTGTGACCGTGATGTTTGAAAAGTCTTGTCCAGCATAAACATCCTCAGGAATTACTACAGCTGCACCATATGACAAAACTACTTAAGAGAGATCATTACTCTTCATTCTTACCAGCAAAAGAAAAGGACCTTCACCACTGCTGCATGATCAAGCAATGATACAACATCACATGAGAGATTGAAAAAGATCAGATAGGTACAGTGGAAGTGCGCTATTCTTATATAGATACAAAAGCACATGTTCTTTTTAGGGTGGAGGACCAATTGTGTCTTTGAATCCTCCCTCATCTCCTGGCCCACACCACCTTAGTTGAATACTTGGCTTGTTCTCCAATTGTCTATCATATGTTTACCTTAGCCAGAATATAGCATGAAGAGAGCTCATTCTGGTTTAAAAGTAGAGTTCCTTTAGATTTGAGGTTGTAGAGAATCTCTATGGCCTAAATATGTGGAAATTTCTGTTTACCAGATACATTAATAATCTTTTCTTTCTAAGGAGTTATCTGGCTTTTTATCCAACAATTGTAGTAGTGAACTATTGCAGCTGTCAAAATTATACATTAAGTATGTGATGCGATTTTTGTATATGAGCCGCCTTAACTGTTATATGAGAAATCCTTATATCTACCAGATTCATCAATATTGTTTGGGAATTTTATCGGAAAAAGCTCCTACTATTGGCTTTTCACTGAATGACGCCCCCCATGTTCGTTTCTACCTAGGTGTGACCCTTTTTTTCTATTTGGACCAAAATACCCTTATATTTTTACTAAATAACTTGAACATATATGTTATTCAAAAAGTCTCTGATTTTGATAATTAATTATCATAAATTATCAAAAAATAAAAAATGATTCTAATAATCTCATAATCATGCCTTAATAATTTTAAGATGATCAGTATCATTTTTTATATATTTTTAAAATTCTATGATAATTAATTATCAAAATTAGATTTTTTTTTTTAATAACATATGTGCTAGATCATTTTAGTAAAAGCATGAGTATATTTTCTTCCAAATAGTAAAAATAGGTGCCCTCAGGTTAAACTGAATATGGGGGGGCACCATCTGGTAACAAGCCAATAGTAGAGATTTTTTCTGGTAAAATGTCCATATTGTTTTTATTTTAATAGTTAACTGGATTTTTTATGCTAACATTTATTTGCTTAATTGTTTTGTTTCTCAAACAATGCAGTCTGGATGCTGTAAGCCTCCAACTACATGTGGCTATGCATACGCAAATGAGACATTCTGGACCGCAGGGGCAGGAATGATGGTTAATGACATGGACTGCACCAGGTGGAGCAATGATCAGCAGTTGCTGTGCTACCAGTGTGACTCATGTAAGGCTGGGGTTCTTGCAAGCATCAGGCATAGCTGGAGGAAGGTCTCAGTGATTAACATTGTTGTGCTCGTAATCCTCGTCATTGTCTATGTCATTGGTTGTGCAGCATTCAGAAATGCGAAAAGGGTCGACAATGATGAGCCCTTTGGAGAGAACAGAATTACTAAAGCAAGACCTAGCAGGTTCCAGTTTTAGGAAGTTCTGTGGAATAGAACTATTCTGTACAATACAAACATATTGGAATTTGAGGAATCTAGTTCATGTACTGGAAATTGGTTGTTTGGCCTTAAGGGCCTAAGGACAAAAAGGCTTCATCAAATTCCATTTGGCTTGTTTTGTTCATATAATAGTTGTGTGTGTCTCAGTTTTCTTTTGTGTTCAACACAGTCAAACAAACGACACTGGCTGATCCTCATTGTACCTTAGTCCAAATGGTGTTTTGTTTTACCAGAATGTAGGATTTGTTCTGTTGCTTGTATCGAACTTCGTATACATGGAGAATGCCTTGTTTGTGTGTTGCTTTTATCAAACTTTGTTTACATGGACAATATATCACCTGTGTGTATGACCTGCATATCTGAGTTCTCTAGGAATCCAGTGAAGTTTGCATAAACTATTATAAATGTTTTTCTTCTAAATGTCAACATTGTATTTATCCTTCGTGGTTGTTAGTTGGTGGTCCTTCGGTATGAGCTAGCATCAAGTGGCTACAGCTTCTTGAATGTGGGATGATTCAGCATTTGAAACCAGAAAGGAAAGCCATCACAAGCAGGAGAACATAGTACTCCCTTGAGCTTTTAACTTGAAGAGTATCTTGTCAATTCATACTTATAGTTGAATCACTCAGAGGCAGGCATCTCACAGGATCAGGTACATAAGTCACATTTAAGCTATTCTACAGTTGCTCTTATTGGTTTTATGTGTAAATTACGTCATTCTTACCAAATCATCTTGCCTGTCTGTTTGATGCTCATTTTCTTGAAAAATAATATTTCTTGAATCCATTAATAGATAATTATTTTCATCTTTACTGTACCAGTGACATTTTTTTCTGAAGACTTGAGCGTTATATATCTCGAACCATGACTGCCAGTGTATATTTGCATTGGCATTGCATTGTCACTATTGCATTTGCTCCTTTATGCATATTTGTTGCTTTAGATTATGCTTCACGATGATGGACATTAGTCATTAGGCCCCTAACATTGGAACTACAAAAATTTACTGATGTATTAGACATGCTGGTGATTAGCAAGTCTCTCAGTCGTCTACAGTGGAAACAGCAACCAAGTTCCATGCTCGTCTACCTCCTATTGGTAAACATAGTGGTTAGCTAGGTTTTAATTCAAGGAGAATTTTTCGCTTAATTTTGACCATGATATATGAACCTCATTGATACACAGTTGGCATTTGCAAGTTCAACAAAGTCCCTGTTGGCAAATATATCTACATCTCTGACTAGCCATCCTATGTAATAATGAGGCATTAGTTGTAGTTCAAAGAACCTCTTAATCTACCAGCTATTGTTTTCTGTGGTGTGTGTATCAGTTTCTAATATGCTAGTAAGCATCTGTTCTTTTCCATTTCTCCATTGTTTTCTATGTACTAATGTAGTATTTACCTCTACTGGTTCCTTCTAGATCCTGTTAAAAGTAAAACATAGTTATGCCCTTAGTTTGTCTTCTGCAAACTTTATCGCCTGAGTACTTAAGAAATGTGGATTAGTCGCAACTTCTTTGAAGCATTCTTTTACTCCTGTTTCCATCTCAATTAGTGTTATAAATTATCACATATTAGGTGAAAATTGTATTTTGTAACTTGGTGCAACTGATTGGCTATGCTTTTAGAATGCTTTTAAAACGTTGACAGTATGCCTAGATGAATCATGTTAATGCATTTGCTGCGGTATACTTGAAATATCAAGAGGAAATAATTGCAAGAACAGTTAAGCAAATACCGAATATTTACGTCATCTAGATGAATTGAACCAAACAGCCTTCACAGCCATTGCATCAAAATGTCTTATTCCATTTTCTTTTGACCATATCAAATAACGGTTGCAATTTGCAGTATCGTGTTTGGGTTTCTGTTCTGGCAGGGACTTTGTATCTTGCAATCATTGTTTACAGCTTGATGGATTGTTTGAAACTGAAACAATCTTTTTATTGCCATGCTTGTTTTTTGCTTTTGACATCTTGCTTGCTTGAACCAAAAGATGAAATTTGGAACCTCTGAAATGAAACATAAGGACAACAGTCACCAATAATGTATGATAAGCACATCCATAATGGTGCCTCTACTCAAAACTGGTGCAGATCTAAAAGTTCTGACCATTTTGTTTTGCAGAAAGTTACAGACTGCTTACCTTCTTGAGTAACAATTCATTTTGTTTCTCCATTTCAGTGATTTGTTCCAGAGTCATCCCAAACCACTCATCAATCCAAGCAAAACAAAGCTTGTGAAATTCCAAAAGAACTGCCTTCTGACTCTGTCAGGTAAAAGGTTTACATCAATGATATTCTTAAGGAAGAGATGAGGTAATTGATCTGGCAAGAGGAAACAAAAACCTGACTCAACAATGGAATCAAATGTTTTTGGTGTATATAGTTTTAGGCTTTCTCAGCCATAAGTGTGCCGTGGTTCAGTACAGTTTTTGTTTTACTTATCATGAATACATGTTCAATCTTCTCATCTCAACATTGTGAAAAATGATTTCACAAGATTAATCTGTGGGTTTCATAACATGGTTATCTACATATGCTAGAAACAAAGTAGACTGCATTGAACATGCTGCTTAAATCTTGCTATAGTTTTTCTTCTAGTGATGAGCAAAATTTTCAAGATTGGGATATTTGATTACAGAAACTACAATTTGAGTGCTAAAATTCCAAGTCAGACAGAGTTTTGTATCTCCCTCTTTTAACTTCCATACTAGAAGACAATAGATAGCAATTACATGTTTCTTTTATTCAAGTAAATTGATGAATGTTTAATTGTAGGAAGATAAGCTTCTAAAGAAAAATGTTGTTTGAGCATAAGAAAGCATTCTTGAGATGGATGACATCTCATCTATATCTTATGTTTGTGATAAAAAGAAGGGAATCAGAACATACCGCAATTATGGCTTCCTCCATACAAAAGCCAAGGCCCCAAATAGGAGCATCCATGGTCAATAATTTGTATGTTGTCATGACTGGTTGACATGAAGCCTATAGAAAAATATCACCGAAACATGAGTTGAATGCTATGCTGATCATATCAGACAGTAGGAATAGAAGAAACAATGTGATTTTGTAGAGTCCTATGCTTCTTCTTGATATCTGGATTCCATCATGGCTTCATCCAGTCCTCTCATGGCAAGTCGTCGTTGCCACATACTCGAAATGTAAATATGGATTCTTCTGGAGTCAATGTTGATCGATGTCATAAATGAAATGAATCCTATATTCAGGTGATTTTATGTACATGATGAGATTTTTCAGGGAGGACAGGGATTGAAAATAGGAAGGGAACAACTTTCTCTCTATCTTGATATAATTAGAACTACCCCAAACTCAAGCGACTTCCAGTTCCAGTCCCAGCTACCGGAGGACACTCCTTCCTCATCTCATTCGCTACAACAACAGACATACTGGATGGACCTTATAATGCTCCTCTTTCTAATGCTATTGTGTCTGCAGGATCAAGACATTGCCGAGCAGATCACCATGGAACTAGCATCCACGAGGGCAGCAACGTTGACCTTGTTCACAGCCCTCTCCAATCAGAATACTCTCAACCCTCAGCCACTGTTTTCTGTGTAGACCAGACCAGCAAGGGACCATCATCTACTACGAATGCTGAGCCATTTGGGACGCTCTCACCAAAGAATTCCATAGGTGAGTTTTGTTTTGGATTTTTGGTGTGAAAGAGGTGTATGTGATAAACAAGCGTAGGATGCTTTGCCAAAGTTGATTAGAGTCATCGACGATAGTTTAGGTTCTCATAGAAAACCTTGTCGACATTTGCATGAGAGAAACAAGAAGCTCAACTTCATATTCCTGCCGTGTAGGTTGGGCGTATGTGAGATAGGGAAAATGCGATTCTCAAACTCTTTCTTATGATCTATAAACCAATACAGAAATCATAACAAATATGAGAGGATTTTACCTGCCATCCTCTCAGAAGTGGACCTCGACCGCTCTTGTGTGACTTGAATTCAGACAAGTCTAGTTTGGAAGTACCGGCGACCTTACTCCAGTAGTCTCTCGAAACAGAAGCTATGTCGATGATCTCCACTTTTCTTTTAGCTACTAATTCTTTGCTCAAGCCATGAACCTAGTTGTTGTCACATATGCAGTTATTTCCCAGAGATCTTAGCCTCTGACTACCATTTGGTATGCTTTTGACATGTTTCTTTGGTAAGGAAAACTTCATGATGGAAAATATATCTATCAGATGAAGCTGAAGGAGGAGGTCTTCTTACATTCTCAGAACAGCCGTTGTCAGCCTTGTTCATGGTTTCAATCGTCAGGCAGCACTGCTTGAGGTATGGGCACTGCCGACAAGCAATTCAATAAAATTTCAAATTATATATATATATATACACATACGTATATATGGATATGGGTATTTCTGTTCCACATAGATAAAGCAATACGATTGATTACCTTTATCACTGGATCGCATGATGTTCATATTCATGACAGCAAAAAAACAAAAAAGAATTTAGTGCAAGTTTGATGGCTTAAATTGAACTGATATATATGCTCGAGGATGAAAGATGAACCACATGAACCTGTTTTGCTTTTGGGGTACGCATTCCAGGATTCTTCTTCCAAGGTCAGGACTTCAGCTGGTGTAAAAGTTTTGAGCCAAGGAGGAATCACGCTGCAGATCGATTGATGAAGTTGAGATGAAATCTATGAGGGAAATGAGTGCATTCGATCCGTCAAATCTAACCTCTCAAAATGATAAATCTTTGTCTGATGCTGCCCCTTCCCAAGCTCTTCGTTCTCGAAAGCTATGCTCCGCAATGTCTGCACCCCTTGTCCGCTAGTGGTGTTCTGTTGCTTCATCTTCATGATGGTATACATCATAGCAATCTCATACTGCATGACATAAATTTGACTCCATAAAACATGTTTGCAAGATGCAGTAAGCAAATCTACTCCTACCTCTTCCAATGAGATGGGCATGACGATCCTTCTGAAGAAAACCAGGTCAAGGAAGAAAGATCAAACAAAGACAAAGATCGAATATTTTAAATACTCGAAGATCAACCGTAGAAAACCTCCATCTTTTTTCTGGATGCATGGAAATCTTTGCATGAAACCAACTGCTCGAACATGAATCTGTCATCAAAGGATACAATTCTCTGATCTGAACCATGTTTGACGAAGCTGGAAACTCTCCTTTGCCGAAGCAAAGCTGCGACCCCCTATTTGTTCTCCGAAGGCACGAAAGGAGTCGGGATCAGCTTTTGCTTCCATCAGCACATGGATGAGCTTGCCAAGGGCATCAGGACCGTCCGTCGATGATCGGATGGACCAAACAGGATGCTTTGGAGCCTCGTGGCCAACCGTGGTGCAGCGAAGACGGTCCACAGGATTTGGCCTACTCAGTGATAAAGCGTGAAGTCGCGGACTGCCTTTGCAAATATTCTACTGGAATTTGGCATCTGAAGCTTTTAGGTTTGACGTATGGTCTGATGAGGATGAAGAAGAAACAAACGATGTCCAACTGATGCTCTTCTCTCATCGGAAAGAAGAAGCCAACTAATGGTCGACCATCGTCTCAACTAGGAGTCCATCACCGACCTAACATAGCCTCTTTCATCCTCATCACTTCTCGTCCTTTGATGGTGGTGGTTCAATTAAAAAGCTGTGTACTGTTGCATGCACAGTATGTGAATCTTAAAGCTTGATGGATTTCAAGGAAGTTAGGTCACATCATAGTTATTGGAATCCAATTGAACGGCCAATAACCCACATGGACTGACCTCATTCGATCGATCCAGTTTCGTAAATGTAATTAAGATTGCTTAAATGCCTTTAACTTAAATATTTTTTATTATTTTTTATTAAAAAATATTTATGTCAATTTTTAAATTATGATTAACAAAAGAAAGAAAGTGGCCTCTCACCTTTGGTTATCCTCTATAAAATATATTATTTTTTTGAAAAATATAATGTGAGATTATCTATAGACCTCTTCAAGTGATTTTGGAGTTCCCAAAAAATCTTTAAAATTTTCGTTTATGCTATTTTCTAAAAATAGCATAATTGACTTTCTTAGTTAAATCGATTCAATCTTGTGCTTGTAGTGTGAATTTAAGGGTTTTTTTTTTATATTTCTCAAAGAGTATTATCTATTTATGATCATCATTAAATATTTACTTGGCAAAGTAGTTGAAATTATGAATCAGGTAAAATGATCCAATCTCCCTATATATATATATATACATATATATATATATATATATATATACATATATATATATACATATATATATATATACATATATACATATATACATATATATATATATACA